CCCCTGTCAGTATTGGATGGTTCGATGGACCATTGGAAGCACCCCGTCAGTGTTGGATGGTTCGATGGACCATTGGTAGCAGCCCCTGTCAGTATTGGATGGTTCGATGGACCATTGGTAGCAGCCCCTGTCAGTATTGGATGGTTCGATGGACCATTGGTAGCAGCCCCTGTCAGTATTGGATGGTTCGATGGACCATTGGTAGCAGCCCCTGTCAGTATTGGATGGTTCGATGGACCATTGGTAGCAGCCCCTGTCAGTATTGGATGGTTCGATGGACCATTGGTAGCAGCCCCCGTCAGTGTTGGATGGTTCGATGGACCATTGGTAGCAGCCCCTGTCAGTATTGCATGGTTCGATGGACCATTGGAAGCACCCCGTCAGTGTTGGATGGTTCGATGGACCATTGGTAGCAGCCCCTGTCAGTATTGCATGGTTCGATGGACCATTGGAAGCACCCCGTCAGTGTTGGATGGTTCGATGGACCATTGGAAGCACCCCGTCAGTGTTGGATGGTTCGTTGGACCATTGGAAGCAGCCCTCGTCAGTGTTGGATGGTTCATTGGACCATTGGAAACACCGCCTGTCAGTGTTGGATGGTTCGTTGAACCATTGGAAACAACGCCTGTCAGTGTTGGATGGTTCGTTGGACCATTGGAAGCACCCCGTCAGTGTTGGATGGTTCGTTGGACCTTTGGAAGCACCCCGTCAGTGTTGGATGGTTCGTTGGACCTTTGGAAGCACCCCGTCAGTGTTGGATGGTTCGTTGGACCATTGGAAGCACCCCGTCAGTGTTGGATGGTTCGTTGGACCATTGGAAGCACCAAGTCAGTGTTGGATGGTTCGTTGGACCATTGGAAGCACCCCCTGCCAGTGTTGGATGGTTCGTTGGACCATTGGAAGCACCCCGTCAGTGCTGGATGGTTCGTTGGACCATTGGAACCCCCCCCTGCCAGTGTTGGATGGTTCGTTGGAAGCACCCCCTGCCATTGTTGGATGGTTTGTTGGAAGCACCCCCTGCCATTGTTGGATGGTTCGTTGGACCATTGGAAGCACCCCGTCAGTGTTGGATGGTTCGTTGGACCATTGGAAGCACCCAGTCAGTGTTGGATGGTTCGTTGGACCATTGGAAGCACCCCCTGTCAGTGTTGGATGGTTCGTTGGACCATTGGAAGCACCCCCTGCCAGTGTTGGATGGTTCGATGGACCATTGGAAGCACCCCGTCAGTGTTGGATGGTTCGTTGGACCATTGGAAGCACCCCGTCAGTGTTGGATGGTTCGTTGGACCATTGGAAGCACCCTGTCAGTGTTGGATGGTTCGTTGGACCATTGGCAGCACCCCGTCAGTGCTGGATGGTACGTCTGCGAGGTGCTATCATCTTTGCCTGATCTTCCGGGTTCAGGATCAGCCATCTTGATTGGGCGTGCGCAAAGGCTGTACTTACACAGCTCAGTCTCATCTGCCAATCTTCTTCCCCCAAGGAATGTTTATTTTCTGTGTTCTGGTGCCGCACATACACCATGCAATGTACACTCTCTGCTCTCCAACAGCTAACCCTAAGGCCAGAGAGGATGCTGGGAGGTGGGGGTATACCTACATTATGCAAAACCCCCACCCAGCACGCTTTCATTATAAATATCACATCTGTGGAATCCCTTTGGGGAACTCCATGTCCTGAACACTTCAAGCCATTGAAACGGGACAACATACAGAAGAACCATACAAGTGAGACGGACTGACACGGTAAATCGGAAGAGGAGGACAGATGGCGCCCCGTGTATACACCACTCACCCAGTTCAGGCTTGGCTCCCGGCTGAATTCATGGCTCCGCGCTGCACTGAAATCATAGTCAGGCCGGAAAGATTCATTCAGAGTGGCAATTAGGTAGAAGAGAGTCTTCCGGCTGCACTTGTCACTGAGAGGTCCATCTTCATCCGCGCCAAGGCTCTTCCCCAGCCTGCAAGAGAGACACCGACAGTCTGCCACATGTAATAAGTACATACCCCCTTAACCTGCAAGAGACGATGACAGTGTGCCACATGTGAAAACCACACACACACCTCGATCTCCTTAGCCCTTCAAGACAACAATAGTCTGCCACTTGTAATAACTACCCCCGCACCCTATTACCTCACCAATGTGCTGCAAACGACACTGACTGTCCCATAACCACATGTTCCTCTCCCCAATTCCCCCCCATCCCTGCCCTCCCCAACCTGCAACAGCACCTGCCCCTTCTGTCCATGTAGGACTTATACATAGGTCAGGGTTCCCCATCTGATGTCCCTGCTGAGTCCATACCTGCTGGGGCTAACGCCGCCGCTCTGCGGGGGTGACAACGCTTCCAGCACATGTGGCTGACCCTCCTGACAGAACTGCTTGAACATGTGCTTGTCATCACCAGCCATCTTACAGGAATAGCTCTCCATCCTGGAACAATACAGATCATCAATTACATTACATTCTATAGACGGAGAACCAGGCGAGGATTAGCCTTATCTACTGAACCCCAGGAACCCTCACCACAAGCCCAGGAACCCTCACCACAAACGCAAGCCCAGGAACCCTCACCACAAGCGCAAGCCCAGGAACCCTCACCACAAGCGCAAGCCCAGGAACCCTCACCACAAGCCCAAGCCCAGGAACCCTCACCACAAGCCCAAGCCCAGGAACCCTCACCACAAGCCCAAGCCCAGGAACCCTCACCACAAGCCCAAGCCCAGGAACCCTCACCACAAGCCCAAGCCCAGGAACCCTCACCACAAGCCCAAGCCCAGGAACCCTCACCACAAGCCCAAGCCCAGGAACCCTCACCACAAGCCCAAGCCCAGGAACCCTCACCACAAGCCCAAGCCCAGGAACCCTCACCACAAGCCCAAGCCCAGGAACCCTCACCACAAGCCCAAGCCCAGGAACCCTCACCACAAGCCCAAGCCCAGGAACCCTCACCACAAGCCCAAGCCCAGGAACCCTCACCACAAGCCCAAGCCCAGGAACCCTCACCACAAGCCCAGGAACCCTCACCACAAGCCCAGGAACCCTCACCACAAGCCCAGGAACCCTCACCACAAGCCCAGGAACCCTCACCACAAGCCCAGGAACCCTCACCACAAGCCCAGGAACCCTCACCACAAGCCCAGGAACCCTCACCACAAGCCCAGGAACCCTCACCACAAGCCCAGGAACCCTCACCACAAGCCCAGGAACCCTCACCACAAGCCCAGGAACCCTCACCACAAGCGCAAGCCCAGGAACCCTCACCACAAGCTCAAGCCCGGGAACCCTCACCACAAGCTACATGCTCAGGAAAACTAGAGATTTGCACCCATAAATGGAATTCATTAGTGGACACAGGAGGTTCAGCATCAATTGGGTTATACCTTCCACCTTCAGGAGAACTAAACCATGGCAGATGCAACCAGCATGATCCGTCTTAGTATTGTGGATGATAAAATGTAGAGCGGTGGGATCTGATGAACTCCAAGAAAAGGATTTTACAGTAAGAACCCCTTTTCTGAATCTTCAATAGACTCGGGAGATTCAGAGAGTGGGGCGGAAATCCAAATGAGGGGGCGAGCAACACAGCAGACAGGTTCACAAGCCCACCAAACACTGAAACTGGGGTAACTAGCAGATGAGAGAGCCAGAAGGACCTTACACCTGCAGCCGGCATCCAAAGAGGACCACCCAAATCTGAGAGATACAACCCCAATTCCAGAATGTGTAAAATCTTCACAATAACAGAACGACATGATCTGCAAATCTCAAACATATCAAATGATTCAACTGAGAAAATGGCTACAGCGCTGTGTCCCCTCTAACGGTATGGGGTGCATTAGTGTGTATGGGGGTGGCAAGACACCATTAATGCGGAGAGATATATTGGGGTGTTAGACCAGCGTGTGCTCCCATCCAGACGACGTCTCTGTCAGGGAAGGTTTTGTATACAGGACAATGATGGACCTCATACTGCATCTATAACATCAGCATGGCTTCTAGAAGAGTCCGGGGGCTGCAGTCCGGACCTCCCACCAACTAAAGAGACAAAGAAGACCCGGGACTTCTGAGCAGTTAGAATCCGATTTCAGGCAACAATGGGACAACATTCCTCTCCCAAAACTCCAGCAACCAGTCTCCTCAGTTCCCAGATGTGTACAGAAGAGGGGCGCTGCATCGGGGTACATGGCCCTATCCCAGCTTCTCTGAGACGTTTACAGAAGAGGGGCGCTGCACCGGGGTACATGGCCCTATCCCAGCTTCTCTGAGACGTTTACAGAAGAGGGGCGTTGCACCGGGGTACATGGCCCTATCCCAGCTTCTCTGAGACGAGCACAGAAGAGGGGCGCTGCACCGGGGTACATGGCCCTATCCCAGCTTCTCTGAGACATGCACAGAAGAGGGGCGCTGCACCGAGGTACATGGCCGTGTCCCAGCTTCTCTGAGACGTGCACAGAAGAGGGGCGCTGCACCGGGGTACATGGCCGTGTCCCAGCTTCTCTTAAACGTGCACAGAAGAGGGGCGCTGCACCAGTGTACATGGCCCTATCCCAGCTTCTGAGACATGCACAGAAGAGGGGCGCTGCACCGGGGTACATGGCCGTGTCCCAGCTTCTCCGAGACGTGATGCTCCATTTTCTCAATTCAAATGCTGGATGTTTTCCATTTTCTATTGTGAATAAAATTCGGGTTTATGAGATCTGCAGGTCATTTCCTTCTGGTTTATGTAGATTTTACACAATGCCCCAACTTTTGTAGAATTGGGGTTGTAACCCTACTGACAAGTCCTTCTGAACCCCAGGAATCCTCTACAGAACCCTTCTACCTGGGAGACCTGATTAGATTCACACAACCACTGAGGAGGCTCCGTCACAGATCCAGGAGGTCTTCTACCTACATTCACACAACCACTGAGGAGGCTCCGTCACAGATCCAGGAGGTCTTCTACCTACATTCACACAACTACTGAGGAGGCTCCGTCACAGATCCAGGAGGTCTTCTACCTACATTCACACAACTACTGAGGAGGCTCCGTCACAGATCCAGGAGGTCTTCTACCTACATTCACACAACACGTCTCCACACACAGCTGGGAGTTCACAGCTTCAAAATGCGAATTCTCTAACAACTTCATCTCAGCGTCTCCAAAAAGTACAAAGCCTGAGGAACAAGAGAGACTAGATCAGATTCCAATCAACTCAGAACTGTTGTGGGAAGACTAAAGGGAGGCCGGGGTAAACCTTCCTGCCTAACGGAAGAGAGGCCTACAACTGACAGATCTGGTCCGGCCTGGACACACAGGAATACCCCACCAGATGAGTACACGCCCTTGGTGTCATACTAGGCACATACTTCTCCGGTGACCCCAATGTGTCCAGGCATGCAGTGGGCAGCCAGAATATCATGATGGCATATTCAATGGAGGATCAGGACTGATTAATGTTCCCTCAGCACTCAGTGAGACCGGCAATCAGAGACGTGGATGTAGGACATACACTATATTGCAAAAAGTATTGGCCCCTCCCCCTCCAAATCATTGGATTCAGGTGTTCCGTGACATTTCCTGGCTACTAAATATTCCGCGGTCACCTGTTACTGGGATTATAACAAAGTGGAAGCGACCGGGAAGAACAGCAACTCAGCCAGGAAGTGGCTGAGTTCAAACTCCATGCGGCCGTCAGATTGGCACAACAACAGTGCGTAGAGAGCTTCATGGAATGGGTTTCCATGGCCGAGCAGCTGCATCCAAGCCGCACATCACCAAATGCCATGCGAGCGCCCAGAGAGCAGGAAGAGCGAGCGCCCAGAGAGCAGGAAGAGCGGGCGCCCAGAGAGCAGGAAGAGCGGGCGCCCAGAGAGCAGGAAGAGCGGGCGCCCAGAGAGCTGGAAGAGCGGGCGCCCAGAGAGCTGGAAGAGCGGGCGCCCAGAGAGCTGGAAGAGCGGGCGCCCAGAGAGCTGGAAGAGCGGGCGCCCAGAGAGCTGGAAGAGCGGGCGCCCAGAGAGCTGGAAGAGCGGGCGCCCAGAGAGCAGGAAGAGCGAGCGCCCAGAGAGCAGGAAGAGCGGGCGCCCAGAGAGCAGGAAGAGCGGGCGCCCAGAGAGCAGGAAGAGCGAGCGCCCAGAGAGAGAGCGCCCACATTGCAGAGACATGAAGCTTCATGGGGGAACTACATTTTTTTTAACTTAACTCTATTGCTACCACTTGTGGGGTTCACAAGCCCCTTTGTAATGACAGTGCAGTGGTGACCTGGAAGGAGACATTCGGGGTCTACGAGGGCTGGAATGGTGGTCAGACGATGGAAGCGGTCGGCTGGCTTTAGAGCGGCTCAAATCTCTTCCAGTGTAAAGCCGAAACTACCATCAGTGGTGGCCAAGTTGTCTTACAGGGGATCCCTATACTATACACCCCCCATGTAGGAGGATAACACAGGAGGGGGGATCCCTATACTATACACCCCCCATGTAGGAGGATAACACAGGAGGGTAGATCCCTATACTATACACCCCCCATGTAGGAGGATAACACAGGGGGGTAGATCCCTATACTATACACCCCCCCATGTAGGAGGATAACACAGAGGGAGTAGATCCCTATACTATACACCCCCCATGTAGGAGGATAACACCGAGGGAGTAGATCCCTATACTATACACCCCCCATGTAGGAGGATAACACAGGAGGGTAGATCCCTATACTATACACCCCCCATGTAGGAGGATAACACAGGAGGGTAGATCCCTATACTATACACCCCCCATGTAGGAGGATAACACAGGGGGGTAGATCCCTATACTATACACCCCCCATGTAGGAGGATAACACAGAGGGGTAGATCCCTATACTATACACCCCCCATGTAGGAGGATAACACAGGAGGGTAGATCCCTATACTATACACCCCCCATGTAGGAGGATAACACAGAGGGGTAGATCCCTATACTATACACCCCCCATGTAGGAGGATAACACAGAGGGAGTAGATCCCTATACTATACACCCCCCATGTAGGAGGATAACACAGAGGGAGTAGATCCCTATACTATACACCCCCCATGTAGGAGGATAACACAGAGGGAGTAGATCCCTATACTATACACCCCCCATGTAGGAGGATAACACAGAGGGAGTAGATCCCTATACTATACACCCCCCATGTAGGAGGATAACACAGAGGGGTAGATCCCTATACTATACACCCCCCATGTAGGAGGATAACACAGAGGGGTAGATCCCTATACTATACACCCCCCATGTAGGAGGATAACACAGAGGTAGTAGATCCCTATACTATACACCCCCCATGTAGGAGGATAACACAGAGGGAGTAGATCCCTATACTATACACCCCCCATGTAGGAGGATAACACAGAGGGGTAGATCCCTATACTATACACCCCCCATGTAGGAGGATAACACAGGAGGGTAGATCCCTATACTATACACCCCCCATGTAGGAGGATAACACAGAGGGAGTAGATCCCTATACTATACACCCCCCATGTAGGAGGATAACACAGAGGGAGTAGATCCCTATACTATACACCCCCCATGTAGGAGGATAACACAGAGGGAGTAGATCCCTATACTATACACCCCCCATGTAGGAGGATAACACAGAGGGAGTAGATCCCTATACTATACACCCCCCATGTAGGAGGATAACACAGAGGGAGTAGATCCCTATACTATACACCCCCCATGTAGGAGGATAACACAGAGGGAGTAGATCCCTATACTATACACCCCCCATGTAGGAGGATAACACAGGAGGGTAGATCCCTATACTATACACCCCCCATGTAGGAGGATAACACAGGAGGGTAGATCCCTATACTATACACCCCCCATGTAGGAGGATAACACAGAGGTAGTAGATCCCTATACTATACACCCCCCATGTAGGAGGATAACACAGAGGGAGTAGATCCCTATACTATACACCCCCCATGTAGGAGGATAACACAGAGGGAGTAGATCCCTATACTATACACCCCCCATGTAGGAGGATAACACAGAGGGAGTAGATCCCTATACTATACACCCCCCATGTAGGAGGATAACACAGGAGGGGGGATCCCTATACTATACACCCCCCATGTAGGAGGATAACACAGGAGGGGAGATCCCTATACTATACACCCCCCATGTAGGAGGATAACACAGGGGGGTAGATCCCTATACTATACACCCCCCCATGTAGGAGGATAACACAGAGGGAGTAGATCCCTATACTATACACCCCCCATGTAGGAGGATAACACCGAGGGAGTAGATCCCTATACTATACACCCCCCATGTAGGAGGATAACACCGAGGGAGTAGATCCCTATACTAGGGAAGATGCAGCTGTCCGGCCGCAGATCCTCATACCTGACAATACGACGCTCCGCCTTCTCTCGGGTACAACACTTGGATACCAAGCACCTTTCTTTATACGGCTGCAGCTCCTTCAGTATTTCTGACTTGTACTCGGTCTTCTTCCAGAAAACGTTTCACAAGGACTCGGAAAGAAAGCCAATCGTAGTCTCCGACAAGACATCACTGCCATCCCAAAGAGGCCACGAGACGATAACCGACCTTCATAGGGAACAAACAAGTGACAGTTACCAAACGTTCTTCATACCAATGACATGCATCGGACACCCAATGAGAACATCAAGTCTAAAGGTTACATTGTATTGGGGGCTGAATAAAGACCACCAAGTCCGACCTTTGTGAGAGCGTGTGTAAAGGGGCCAATACAAGAAGTAGGTTCTACCTGAAGATGATTGACATATCAGAGGGAGAACACCAACATCCAGACCACAAGCAACGTGCATGGCACCGAGACCACAATCAGAGGTGGACATGATGTGCGGAGATCATAGCGACCTCTACAGAGGCCACTACAGATCATCCATATTCAGACTGATCAGTAAAGACTACAGTAAAAACAGCACCAGATAATGGGACTTACAAGTCCCCATCATCATTGCTGCCATCAAACAAGAGGAAGATGAATCAGACTATAGAGATGATCTACCTCTAATCAGTCTTCAACCTTGAGGAGGCTATAGGACGACCTACCAATCACCAGACCTCATACCTGGAGGAGGCTATAGGACGGCCTACCAATCACCAGACCTCAAACCTGGGAGGAGGCTAGAAGATGATCTACCAAATCAGCAGACCTCGTACCTGGAGGCTAGAAGATGGCCTACCAATCACCAGACCGCGTACCTGAAGGAGGCTAGAAGATGGCCTACCAATCACCAGACCTCGTACCTGAATGAGGCTAGAAGATGGCCTACCAATCACCAGACCTCAAACCTGAATGAGGCTAGAAGATGATCTTCCAATCAGCAGACCTCAAACCTGGGAGGAGGCTAGAAGATGGTCTACCAATCACCAGACCTCGCACCTGGGGGAGGCTAGAAGATGATCTACCAATCATTGCCAGGCAGTGTCATTTTGTGAATCAGTTCATACCTCCACCTATAATAACGAGCCAGATGGGTTTTTGGACAGTATTGTCTCTATGCCATTGTGTACTTGTGCTTTTTGCTGCTTTTGTAACGTCTCTATTGTACACCACTGACATATATGTTGTATTAATTACTACATGTCTCTGTTGAGTAAGATCTTGTCCCGGAATACCAGAGGGTTGAATTCCAGACTCATGCGCTCCCTAATATTTAAATGTCTCAACAAATATAGACCCCACATAGTGTGTCTACAGGAAACCCATTTGTTGGGCTTAAAGGTCATAAATGGCATTGGCTTTAAGTGTTTCCATAGGAGACAATAGCAAACTAGCTATTGCACCCGCCCACTGCTGCTGTCAATCAGCAGTAGAGGACCTGAAGTTCTCCATCAGGTCCTCTTCTAGTGATTGACAGAAGCAGAGGGTGGGTGCAATAGTCAGCTTGGTATTGGATATTGCAAATAGGAAACTAGCTATGCATTCCTAAGCTGTTTTTTTTTTTTCTGACTGACGGCGGCCGGCGGCTCCGATGTCAGAAACAAACAAACAAAAAAAAGTTATAGGACAGATGTAGCACAGAATCAAGCAACCATCAGAGTACCTGGTGGGAACCTACCCTCTGCTATGCCCACCCACATGGGGAGATAAAGATGCAGGAATCCCATGCTGTATTCCAGGAGCTCCGACAGCAGTTCCTGTATGAATGGAATCTAAAGAAAGTTACATTCTCCATTCATAATATACAATGGCCAGCAAAAGAATTCCCCTCCTTGGCTTTTTTTTCTATTTTGCTGCATTACCACCTGGAATTAAAATGGATTGGGGGGGTTGTAGAATTTGATTTACACAACACGTCTACCACTTTTGAAGTTGTAAAATATTTGTCATTGTGACAAAGAAATAAGATGGAAAAAAAATTATACATAAAACGCGAGCGTTGCATAACTCTTCACCCCCTCTTCCCAAAGTCAAAACTTTGAAGAGCCAATTACAGCTACAAGTCTTTTGGGGTCTGTCTCTAGAAGCTTGGCACATCTAGCCACTAGGATTGTTGCCCATTCTTTAAGTTGGGTGCATTTTGCTGGTGTACTGCAATCTTTAAAGCCGACATTTCCCCTTATCTATAAAACAACACACACCCAGTGATGACAAATCTACAATCACAGACTTCTAGATCTGTACTCTTTGTATTCCTTATTTCTCTTTTCTTCGCCAGTCTTCTGACAGCGGCCATGTTTAATAAGGGCAGATTACTAGCTCTCCCTTTACTTCCTGGGACATGTGACCATGCATATCATCTCAGGGAGGAAAATGCAGTTCTCTGAGATCTCCCGAGATTACACATGAGATTTCCCAGCCAAACTGAATGCTCTGCAAGTGTAAGTATTTCACAATCACCATATCACCACATGTCACCATACATAGAGGGGTGCATTGGTAGAATTTGATGTTTTGAGTGTATAAGGTCCACTTTAATTCATGTCACAGATTCTCAATTGGAGGTCTGGGCTCTGACTAGGCCATTCCAAGACATTTCAAAACTTCCCCTTAAACCACTCGAGTGTTGCTTTAGCAGTAGGCTCGGGGTCATTGTTCTGCTGAAAGGGGAACGTCCATCCCAGTCTCAAATCTCTGGCAGACTGAAAGAGGTTTCCCTCAAGAATTTCCCTGAATTTAGCACCATCCATCAATCCTTAAATTCTGACCAGTTTGCCAGTCCCTGCCAATGAAAAACTTTCCCACAGCATGATGCTGCCACCATGCTTCACTGTGGGGATGGTGTTCTCCAGGTTTGCATCAGACATAGCATTTTTCTTGAAGGCCAAAATTTAGTCTTCTCTGAGCAGAGTACCATCTTCTATATGTTTGGGGAGCCTTTTGGAGAGGATTGGGGGGGTTGTAGAATTTGATTTACACAACACGTCTACCACTTTTGAAGTTGTAAAATATTTGTCATTGTGACAAAGAAATAAGATGGAAAAAAAATTATACATAAAACGCGAGCGTTGCATAACTCTTCACCCCCTCTTCCCAAAGTCAAAACTTTGAAGAGCCAATTACAGCTACAAGTCTTTTGGGGTCTGTCTCTAGAAGCTTGGCACATCTAGCCACTAGGATTGTTGCCCATTCTTTAAGTTGGGTGCATTTTGCTGGTGTACTGCAATCTTTAAAGCCGACATTTCCCCTTATCTATAAAACAACACACACCCAGTGATGACAAATCTACAATCACAGACTTCTAGATCTGTACTCTTTGTATTCCTTATTTCTCTTTTCTTCGCCAGTCTTCTGACAGCGGCCATGTTTAATAAGGGCAGATTACTAGCTCTCCCTTTACTTCCTGGGACATGTGACCATGCATATCATCTCAGGGAGGAAAATGCAGTTCTCTGAGATCTCCCGAGATTACACATGAGATTTCCCAGCCAAACTGAATGCTCTGCAAGTGTAAGTATTTCACAATCACCATATCACCACATGTCACCATACATAGAGGGGTGCATTGGTAGAATTTGATGTTTTGAGTGTATAAGGTCCACTTTAATTCATGTCACAGATTCTCAATTGGAGGTCTGGGCTCTGACTAGGCCATTCCAAGACATTTCAAAACTTCCCCTTAAACCACTCGAGTGTTGCTTTAGCAGTAGGCTCGGGGTCATTGTTCTGCTGAAAGGGGAACGTCCATCCCAGTCTCAAATCTCTGGCAGACTGAAAGAGGTTTCCCTCAAGAATTTCCCTGAATTTAGCACCATCCATCAATCCTTAAATTCTGACCAGTTTGCCAGTCCCTGCCAATGAAAAACTTTCCCACAGCATGATGCTGCCACCATGCTTCACTGTGGGGATGGTGTTCTCCAGGTTTGCATCAGACATAGCATTTTTCTTGAAGGCCAAAATTTAGTCTTCTCTGAGCAGAGTACCATCTTCTATATGTTTGGGGAGCCTTTTGGAGAACAGCAAACATGTTTTCTTATTTTTTTTCTGCAAGTAATGGTTTTTGTATGGCTACTCTTACATGAAGGCAGCTCTGTGGAATGTGCGGCTGAAAGTGGTCCTACGGACAGATACTCCAATCCCCGCTGTGGAGCTATGCAGCTCCCTCAGGGTTATCTTTGTTGCCTCTCTGATTAATGCCCTCCTTGCCTGGTCCGTGACTTTTGTTGGGAGTTACCCTTTCTTGGCAAGTTTGTTGTGGTGCTCCGTGGGATGTTCAACGTTTCGGATATTAAATTTATTTTTGTAACCCAACTATGATCTGTACTTCTCCACAATTTTGACCCCTGTCAGAGCTATTGGACCAAAAGGAATCGATTTCATAGGCCTAAACATGTCATTTTACAGACGTGTCTATGGGCATACTAGTAGCCATTTTGTCTATGTGCTATAAGGTGAAAATAAGTTCATTCTTCTCTTGTACAGAGACCTTCAAAGAGAGATTAGGAATGTTAATATAAACATTCTTCAGATCGTAAATGGTGAGGTCTCAGACGCAAATCAGTTTAGGATAGTACCTAGAGCTGCAGCTAACGATTATTTTCAAAATCGATTAGTTAGCCGATTATTAGGTTCGATTAATCTGTTAAATCGGGATAAACAATAAAATAAAGTTTAAAAAATGGCTCCAGTGATAGGACTACTAGTTTGTATTGAGGTTGTAGTCCATCACAGGAGCAAGCTAGGAGCAGTGGAAGTAAAAAAGAAAAACGATAGAGTGGTGTGCAATATAGTGAAATGGAAAGTGTAAAATTATATAGCAAAGAACGAGAATGGCACTGGCTATAGAGGACTATAGAGGACTACAAAACCCAGCAAAAGCACATTATACAGCGCAATGCAGAATACCGCATACAACAAATCGCAGCAATAGTACATAATAGCTGGCAATATTCTGCATTGCGCTGTATAATGTACTATTGCTAGGTTTTGTAGTCCTCTATAGCTGGTGGTATTTAGCATTGTACCACTTTATAATCTATTATTGCTGGGATTTGTTGTAGTCCTCTATAGCTAGTGGTATTCTGCAAATTAGTATTCATTGTGGTGATAATATTAGTAACAATGTTATTATATTATTATATTATATGTAGCATCTATCTGCCTACTTAAGTGACTGATTTTAAGTAGAATTTTATACATGTACTTTTATATATCCAAACTATATTCATCATATATATTGTTTGAGTGTACCCATTGAAATATATTGCTGTTTATTACTAATAACGGGGTTTTTATATTTAAGTGCATAGAATTAGGTGTTGTAAAGCGCTGTGCAAACTATTGGCGCTATATAAATCCTGTATAATAATATGCCAAGGTGTATTCTTTTCTTATATGTATGAAAAACGTTTGGGTCTAATTTTAAACCAATGTGTCCTGTGACTCATTACCTAAA